CAAAAGTCTTGCAACATCCAGAAGCCTCTACCTGGGCACGGGGAAGAAATTCTGTGACAATGTCTTTTCTCACTGGTTGATAAAGAACTGGCAACAGAATCAAGAGTTATTAGTGCCAGTGATTAGAAAGGTTGTGGTTTGCACACAGACCAGTGCAGTTTTACACAGAGCGAAATGACCTGATCAGTAGGTATTACTCATGATCCTCTTCTGAGTGAAAGCTGATTTGAAGAATGACAGTTGCACAAGGAAGTGTTTAGTATCATTACTAAGGCCTCAAATGGCTCATTTTAAGTTGGAAATACCATCTTCAGGAAAGCATTACTGCTACACAAACGTGACTCGCGCTACATTTTGAAGCAGGGCTTTGTGAAAACTGTCTTGTCTTTTAACACATTCCCCGTGTGAGGCAGAAGATGACACTACAATGCTTTTTTAAATTAAGCTTCACCACGTGCTAAGGAGGTTTCCAATGCAAGTATTTAGGATCACTACTGCCCAGAAGAACAAGTAGCAGGGTTTTTCCTAGTGGTTTGAGACCAAAAAGAACTTTATTTACACACAATTCAACAGGTCAATACATTACTTCAACTTTCCTGTCTGCACACAAGGGAGAGTCTTCACAGCATCAGATCAGAAAAGCATGACTAGCTATCTTCTATGTGTACAGACTGATAACTGCTTGTATGCAAGTATGTGATTAGATACAGAAGTGTTACATTTAAACATTTCAACCAATTAAGTCAGTAAGAACAACCACACTACACTTAAAGCAAAATAAAATGAAGTCAGAACTACATTTGGCTTCCTGCAGATCAGCTGATGATCTACATGACTGTGTAGAGATGTTAAGATCAAGAGCTGAAGGTGATCATGAGTTTTGTTTAGAACATTAACATTTTTCTAGAGTTGTGTTTAATGGATAATCACTTATAAGACTTTCCCCATACACCTCCACTACCTTTCAAATTTACAAAGCATTTCAAATTTATCCTGGAAAATGCCCATTTTATATTCTGTCTTCTTTTCCCAAACAGAGGGAAAAACTGCTAAGAGAGCTAGAATAGATTTTTTCACTGCAAGGATAGACTCAGGCTATCAAAAGTTGTGTGTTCCTAATGAAAAATTCTTCCCATATCCAAAGAGAAAACTAAGAAATGCAAGGATACAAGCTCAATATACAGATCTGAAAATGGACCTCTATCCATTGTAGGTCCATATAGAGCAAAAGAATACAGTGCTTTCTTTCTCACGAAGCTGCCTCTGTTTTGCTCTATTTTCCAAAAATGCAGCTGCTAATAAGACTTTAAAGTGTATGACTTAGAAATTCTTCATTAAGAATGCCCTCTAATTCTTTTGAGAATAAATGACAAAAGGACTAAACAAGAAAAAGGAAAAATAATGATCTTTCAAAAGTCAATGCATCACACAAAGTGGTCAAACCTAGATATAAAGTTCACTATTCTCCAGGCAAAGCTGGTTTAAGTTTGAAATTAACCTACAGCGTGTTTGCCCGAGAATTGTCCTGTAATGTAAGAGCAGACAAGTTTTTGTCAGAAACATTTATTAAACAAAACTGAAACCAATGCACACACAGTCAAGTTAACACCCCTAATAAAAAAAAGCACGTCTGTCAAGACCAAAATTATCTTCGCTTCTGGAAGATGTTGCCACGGCCCATCCCACGGCCTCTTCCTCTTGCAGCCACTGAAGAAAGAAAACATCAGGGATGACATGAATTTGACATTACCTGCATATTTATCTCAACATCTGACAAGCAAAACCTAAACAACAGTCTCTTGCTCAAAGCAGGCTGTCCTATGACGCTCAGAAAGTGATGTGACAGCAAGAAGCTTTCTGTGAGAAGAACCAAAACTAATGGTCCCAGTCTGGCTCCTTAGAAGAGCTGCAGTGAATTCTCACATATCTTGTGTTCCATCTAAGCTGATACACAAATTTGTGTAGCCCAAGAGATTTAAAACTCCACTCTCTTCTGAGGTTTTGCAACAGAACTCAGTACGTTTCAGCAGATGTTCCTCCCCCATGTAACCTTACTGCTTTTGCTAACGTTAAAGTTAACAGAGACTTTGTGGCACATGCTTGTTCCTCAGTCTTGTTATAACTGGATTGTTCCCCTGAGAAAGGTACAAATGAGGGTGAGCTACAGAAAGGCTAATAATTAGATTCCCAGCAGTTTAAGTACCATCTTTATAACTGAAGTTGTTTTCCTACAAAAGCTTAACAAGAACACCTGAATCCTTCCCTAAATATTCCAAACAGCTTGTGGCCACAGTTGCTGGAAAACAGAACAGTAAGTTTAACAGAAAGCCTCTGTTTAACAAGACCACTCAACACCTCTGAATTAGTGTAGCATCAGTGTAACAAATTCAAGTAGTTGGACAATTTGTCTTGACTCCCACCATAAGACAAAGCACACAGAAAAACACTGTATAAACCAGTAATCTTTCCTTTTCTTACAACCTATATCTTCTCAGTGGTAGAGATGAGTTTTCCAGTTCTACAGAAAAATAGGGTGAGGGACCATGAACAAACTGTACATACCTTGAGCTTTGAGAATCGCTGCTTTTCCTCGCCCAGCTCCAGAACCCTGGTTTTTGTTCTTCATGCTCTTTAGCATAGGGGCATTTTTCAACATGTCTGGTAGAATGAGAAACCGTATCTTGCTACCCCTGATGTACACCTGTTCGAGCTGTGCCACTCTGCCATCTCTGTATGTCACTGTTATGTTGGACATCTGGAAGGTAAAAACTAGTCAGTGCTCACACAGGCCTCAGCTGTGACACAAGGCATCCACGACCATTCAAACTCCAAGCCTGCTGCCCAGCACTTTGGCTTCCTCCCCATTTTACAAACTAGTTTTATCAGCTTTGTTACTTTCGTTTTCTCATATTGAACCAGTTTTAATAAAGCTGCTCTAGTCCTAACTATTACAAAAGAATTTTGATTCAGTAGTGACTTGGTAACATGCATTAAATGAGCTTCAGTTTCTTAAATAATGGTTTGTTTATTCTTACACTCAGGGGCTTTTAATAAAGAACTCCAGAAAAACATTGTCCCCAGCACAGAATCTTAAATCCTTGATCTTACTGACAAAGATGCCCAAGCTGACTCTAGAACTAGAAAGAATAAGCTCTGGCCTCTTTGGAGCACTCTGTAATGCTGAATCCATTTACTGTGCATAAGAAGCAAGAGTTTTCTAAAAGCAACAGCCTTTTAATCAGGCTATCAGCCTTCCCAGGCCCAGATGAGCCAGCCTTCCCTCCATCCTTGGGGGGCCTGTATACCTGACAATTCATGTTGTCCTCAGCTTCAATAAGTTTGCCTCGGTAAACTTCTCCTGTGTTGGTCTCACAGGTGACGATGTGGCCCTCGGCCTCGTGCAGGACCTTGATTGGCACCCCAATCGACATGGCTGCAGTGCTGTGGCTCTACACCTGACACAAAAAGAAAACAAAAGCCGTTATGACAAAGAAAATCGTGGGCAAGGCTTCACCTACACAACCCACGATCTTCCCCACTGTTCAGCACCGATTTTCTCACTTGTCCAAACACACCGCATGCTTTGACTATGGGTCAATAAAACTCCTCTAGCGAGGTGCTCATGGAAGGAAAGACTTTAAATACCAGAAGCCGGTCTTTCCCAGGTCACTTCTGACCTAGGAAATTCACTTTTAAGAATTAGACAACGAATCACTCGTATCTCCAGGTGCACATCTACAGAACAGCCTCAGGTACATTCCATAACGACACAGCCAGACTGAGGGGCTGCGAGACCCCCGGGGGACCGCATCACCCGAGCACAGGGCCGGGCCATGCCGTGAGGGAGCCCAGCCCAGCTCAGCCCACACACCGCCGACCCGGCCCGGCCCCCTCAGGCCCCGCGGGCCGCAGGGAATGCGGCGCCGCTGGGACGCGTCCCCACAGCTCCCGGGGAGCGAGGAGGCCCCAGGAACACGCCGGGAGCGCCGCCCGGGGCCGCCTCGCCGCCCTCCCCGCACTCACCGCCCGCCGCTCCGCGACACCCGCGCTCTCCCCTAATGGCCTCCGCCGCCTCCCGCCCTGCTCCGCGCGCCGGAACCGGAACGCGGCGCTGGGGGCGGCCCCGTCCCGTCCGGCCCCGTCCCGTCCTCTGCCGCTCGGGGCCGCCCCGCGGTGCCCGTGCCCGGGGCAGGGCTGCGCGCCCCCCGCCCGCCGTGTCATGCCCCTGCCCGCCCGCGCACCCCCTCGCCGCCGCCCTCCTCCTCTCCGCCGCCACGGCGCGGGGCAGCCGCCCCGGGGCCCGGCCCCCCGCAGCCCCCGCCTCCGGGAGGAGCCAGCGCCGGGCCCCGGGGCCGCGCCGCCGGCTCGGCGGGGCCGGCACTGAGCGGGCGGCGGGTGCCGCCGCCATGAAGAGCCCCCGGGAGGCCGGGGGGCCGCCGCCAGGTCAGTGCGGCCCTGCTGGGGCCGGCGGGGGGACAGCGCGGTCCGCTGCCGCGGAACGGGCCGGGCACGGGACCCGGGCAGGGGACCCGGCGGTTCCTGCCGGCCCCAGCTCCGCCCTGCCGGTTTCGGCAGCCGCGATGTGGAATTCCCGGCTCCGCGGGCACGGGGGCTGCGCCGGGGCGCGGGCAAAGCGCGGAGGGGTTCGCGGTGCGATTCGCAGCCCCGGCTCGTACCTGATCCCGGCACAGCCGACAGGCATCGCTGGAGAGCTCGGGGCGTGTTGGGAACAGGTGACTGGAAGCTGAACGGCCAAGAAAAGTAGTTGTTGCTCCGTGAAACCTTCACGTAGAAATCGTGCACTTCATGGTTAATTTGGGGACTTGGCAGAGGCCCTGTGTGTTAACAACAAGGGGACAAATTCATAACGCAAAGAGAAAATGGTGACAAAATACTTAACAGAGCCTGTTTGAGTAGAACCTGGGAATTGGTTTATTTGGTTGTGGTTTTTTGTTTGTTTGTGTTTGGTTTTTGGTTTTGGTTTTTTTTTTTTCGGAGCAGTTGAAGCTACATTTTAATTAAAAAGAATGAATATACCGATGGGTGTGCCAGTCTTCAAAGTCATGATTAAACACCGGCACAGCTAGGAGAAAATATTTGGAAATAGTCCAGAATCTCTGCATTGGCTCATCCCTGCAGTAAGCTACAGCCTTGTTTAATATCAGATTACAAATAACATTATCTAAAAAGTTTTATAAATAAAATTACATCAAAACTGGACCAATCCACATTTGGTCAAATGCATTTTTATTCCCATCATAAACTGTAGCTGACCTCGTGTTAGCAAAACTTCTCAAAGGCCTTTTCTGGATCAGAGGTTACTTATGATTATATACTTATGATTAACTCACTTTGGTCGAGGCTGAAGTAGCAGTGACAGACACAACTCTGCACATCCTTCCAGCGGTGAGTGTGTTCCTGAAACTGAAACCACCACCTTGCCAGCTCCATAAAAATAAAAACTGAGGTGGAGGGATGGAGCTACTTGCATTCTGGGACTTTTTAGCAGAGATTATTCTTTTTCCCTCTCCACTGAATTTTGGAGGCAGTTAATACAAAAGGACAACTGGTGCCACTTGTGAGCTTTGTGAGTTCTTGTGGCACAGAAATACATTCAGACACAAGAGAAAGGATGAATACCTTTGCCTTACTTACTGTTATGCTTCATAGTTCAGGGCTATCAGGTACACTGCCCCACCAAAAAGAGTAAAATGAAACTTCCAAAGGAAAAGGGGGTGGCAATGCAGACTGATCCAGGTATGGAGCAATAAAGGAGTATGAGATTAAACCAAATGCTTAACTGTACAGAAGTACTAAATGTACATTCCCCCAAGAAATAAAAAAAACCTACGTGCCCATCAGATAAAGTAAAAACATGTTCCTAAGGTTCCGTGACTACAGGACAATCTGACTTTTAATGGTATGGAAACACATTCCTGTATGGATTTACATCCTTTGTGTTTTACTCACACAGTTGACTCCATCCAGCTGAAAGTGCCAGTGATTCAGCAGCTGTACCACTGGGACTGTGGGCTGGCCTGCTCCAGGATGGTGCTTCAGTAAGTGGCGCTCTCAGTGAGGGAAATCCATTCCGTGGGGAGGGGTAGCAGGAAGCAACATCCGGGGAGAAGAGGTGTGTTGAACAGCTGTGAGTTTAACTTAGTCTGAGGAGAGCAAGAGTTTCTGAGGTGCCCTTGGAGAGTGACTGCTGCTTGGGCAGGAGCAAGGGAAAATACAAATTGAAGTGAGCTTCAGACTCTTTTGAATAATTGCCTGCTTTGACAGATGCAGAGTACCTGATCAGCTCTATGAACTTTGCAGGCTGGCATGCATAAGGTCATAGGAAGTGTTCCCTCTTTCCCGTTGTTATAATTCAGAACTGATCCTCAGCACAGTGATTCACCTGATTCCTTTCTGTGTTTTCAAGTGATGGGCAGGTGTATCCCAGGTCTATCCCAGTTTATGAGTGTCCTGTACCTGTACTACCTCTGTCCTGCTGAGCCCCCAACCTGTGGGATGAGTGTGTCTGTTCCAGGAGTAGTTTCAACTTCAAACTGTGTTGCCCTTCGGTGGTTCTTTTTTTGTTTAGTTTTGGTTTTACTTTTTTTGAACTAGTAGCTGTCCTGCTGAACTCCTCTTTCCTTCCACAGAGGAACATGAGCTTAGGTGCAGGAGAAATACCTATTTAGATGTCCACTTAGTAGATATGAAGCAGAAGATTTTCATTTCTCTCCATCCCTTCTGCCAAGACGTTAGTCCGTGTGCTGGTAATTTCCCATCTTGACTACTGTAACCTCTATTCCCTTTACCTCTTTGCCACTCCAGTCTGCCCAAAACTCAGCTTCCAAGATTAATCTTCTCACCCTGCTGATCTGACCTTGTTTGCCCTGCATTCTCAATTCCAACCCTTTTTTTTTTATTATTTCCATTTACTTCCATTTGTTTTCTTACTTTCAGAACTCTGTAACTGCCTCTCCCGACCCCTTTGCAACCTGTCCCGAGCTTCCTCCTGACTTCATCTCCCCTTTTTTGCCTTTTGTGTCATCAGTGCCTAAGACAAGCTTCCTTTGAATATTGAATTCCTTTACGGTTCCTCCTTTTGAAATCCATGTATTGTGTGAAGGAAGTTTTAGTCTTTTAACACTTCTTTCTGTGTTGGCTCAAATACACTTGTACATTCAGACTGTAAACCCTTCAGGACAGAGTTCTATACCAGCTTGCCTCTGGTACAGCACCTGTACTCTTCTAGTACTATAAAATAGTCAAGGTACCCACACATTTCCAATTTTAAAGTCAGCAATAAATCCAGTTAAATACTCCCTACTCCCTTCCCTTAAATTTCTGGCTCCTTTGTGGGTTGGTTTTTTTGTTTTGGTTATTTCTTAGCCAAACCCATTGTTTTAGTTTGTATGTGCTGTGATGTGGAGGCTTGGGCTACAGCACCCACTTTGCTTCTCCTAAGATCTGTGCTTCCCTTCGCCTGCCTTTCCTAATGCCATAGGTACCTGAATCACTTGGACAACGATGAATTTCAGAAAGCCATCCAGGAACTCCAGTTAACAAAGAGTATCTGGACTATTGACCTGGCCTACCTAATGCGGCACTTTGGTGTTAAGCATAAATTTTGCACCCAGACACTCGGAGTGGACAAGGGCTACAAAAACCAGGTCAGTATTCTCATCTGCTGGGGGGAGGGCAGGCAGCTTTCAAGCCTTGAGTGTCGTGCTGTGAAAGCTCTGCTGTGTTACTGACAGTCAACCACAGTCAATCTGGCCTATTGCCAGAACTGGCACAAATCCATTCCAAAGGCAGTGTGATCTCACATATTCAACATCTTTGATTCCATTGTATGAGTTTTTAAAAAAGTTTCCAGGTAGTGTTCATGAGAGGTTCCAGCCTGTTTGCCAGCCTTGGAGGCTGAAGCCCTGTATTTACCTACAGAACAGGTTCAGCCTGGGCAGCAGCAGTGTTACCCTCCACACTCCCCCACTGTGCCTCAGCCCTAAGGGGACAAGGAGGGCCTGCGGCAGCTCCTGCCCAGCTTCCCCTGGGGAAAATAGCCAGGCTTGTCTCACCTAGGCAGCTGAGTGGCCACGGGATGGAACCTGCAACAGTAACTGACCAGGAGCAAATTTAAACTTGTAATTCAGAGCAGCAATCCTTGTCCTGTTACCAGGGAACTGATACTCCAGTTTTATCACATAGCCAGACATCTAACAGGGCAGGCCCTTGCTAGCCAGAGGCTGTAAACTGTGGAATACCCAAGGTAAGTATCTTTCCAGTTCAGAACTTCTGTTATCTCCACAGTCATTTTACAGGAAGCACTTTGACACAGAGGAGAATCGAGTGAATCAGCTCTTTGCACAGGCCAAAGACTGCAAGGTGCTGGTGGAGAAGTGGTAAGCTTACTCTTTTCTTTCCTTTCTCCCTGGAGATTCTGTGGGTCCCAACCTTTTCTTGGAGGCAACAAGCTAAACTGCTGAAAGACACTGAAATCAAGTCCTGAGCCCTTTTCTGTGAATTAAGAGTTTCTACTACATCTAGCTCAAAAAAACCCCATGCACATCAAGAGCTAATCATGAAGTTTGAGAAAAAGCAGTTGTGACGCAGAAGAAATGATTTGGAAATGCTGACTATTTATGTTTTGAATTTGATTATCCATTACAGTGAGCCAGTAGGGAGTGCCTACAGCACTCTAATTGGCCATTGTTGGAATTACAGAGAGTGCTATGTGGGCACAGAACCCACTGTTCCCAGAGCTACACAAGCATTATAGATCTCTGTTCCTAGACAGACATGCAAAGTACAAACCAGCACTTTTGCCAAGGGGATTTGGATCCAAGCTGGATTTGGATCTCTGGTGTTGAAGTGGGGTAAATGACGAGGAATAAGCAAACGAGAGGACACAGGGCAGCCACAATAGCATTGGGATGCCACAGGTTTTGTCAAGCTTTGTTCATGGCAAGGCCTGCAGAGTTTAATAGCAAAAAGCTGTACCTGTGATACAGAAATAACTGTGCCAGCTCTAAGTACTGCCTACCATCACACACTTCCTTGTACACCGGCCTCTTTCCTACACTTGTCACTTAGCATGTCTGGTTCTTTTTCTGCAGCACAGTAACTGTTCAAGACATCCAAAACCATCTGTCCCAGGGTCACATAGCCATCGTCCTGGTGAATGCAGTCCTGCTGCTGTGTGATCTCTGCTCAAGTCCTGTCAAATACTGCTGCTTCCTCCCCATCGGACAGAAGTGCTTCTGCAGGAGTCCTGACTACCAGGGCCATTTCATTGTGTTATGTGGCTACAACAAAGCCTCAGGGAGTATTTACTACAACAACCCTGCCTATGCTGACCGTGAGTAGCCTGTTTGGGTGGATTCTCAGCCACCCCATTACTATCAAGTCAGTAACGCAGAGCCACAGCTGGACCTCCCCTCACAGTGCACGTGCATTTCAAGCATCACTGCCCAATTTGCCAGAAGAGGTTTTGCCACATTAGTTACATCAGTGCTGCACTCTGTGCTGTGATTTACTCAGACCCTTCGGATATGCATTTAGCAAATGGCTTGTTTGGCTCTCAGATGGGTTAGTGAGAGAAGCTGAACTGTCCTTGTGCAGAATACAACAGAATGGCCAGTTAGTACCTATTTACAGGATTACTTCAGTGAGCACTTTGAGGTGAAAAGATCTTACCTGGGTAAAGCTGTAGGTCTAGTCTGTGTAGCAGTTGTTTTGTTAGTGGAGGCCATCAGACCCAGCGTTAAGAACCTTTCACGGGCAAATCCTTCTGAACTGTTCATAACGTTTTTTTCCTCCTTAACAGGAACATGCTGCACCAGCATCAGCAACTTCGAGGAAGCCAGGACAAGTTATGGCACTGATGAAGATATTCTGTTCATCTACACGGACAGCTGACACCCAGAGTGGATACTCCTGCTCCTTCCTGCCCAGCCTGCACGGCAGCTGGCTGCTCGTCTCAGGACTCCCCTGCACAGACCTCGCTCCTGAACTGCAGTGGGACCTCAAACAAGGGAGGCTTTATGGACATTGACAGGACTGTATTGCAATGCTGTCTTTATCTTTTTTTTTTTTCCCCCCTGATGATGTATCTGATTTTGCCAATGTATGTCTCTGTTTTTTGTTTGGTTTCTTTTTTTTTTCGTAATTTTCAACATTGCACATTTCACAGCAGTTCTAAGAGACAGCCTCAGAGCCTGTTCACTTTCAGCTTATTTTCAAATTAAACACATAAGAAAAAAGCACCAAATTTATGAACTTTAACATTTGGTAATACATGCATAGGTTTAGGTAAACAAAGAAAAAAAGTAGAAAATACCTTCTTCTCTCTCTGTCAAAGCATCAAGAGCTGATCTTCATCCTAAATCTAGGAATCTGAAGTTCAGCAGGGTATTACAGAAGGAAAAAATATTAACTTAAACCACCTTTAAATAACAAAAAAAATGCCTTTCTAGCTCATCAGTATTGTCTGCATTGTAGGAATAAAAAAACATTTACTCAAGGAAACTTCCCATGTACCAAATTCACCTTATATACAGATTTGGCATTTTGTAACTGCATTAAAAGTTGAGTAGTAGTTAGTGGCACTGTCCCCTTGCACTACAAACTCAATCTCCTTTGGCTAAATCCTCTTGGTAACTGCTTGAAGCTCCCAAAGTTTAAGTGAAGAGACTTAATTTCCACCTAGAAGTCTTTACTGCTCTCTGCAAAAAAACCTCTGAATGTTATGCCATCCACATGTGCCAGTTTCTGCAGAATCCATTCGAAACTTATTAAGCAAACACAGAAAATGATCATCCACTCTATTAGTATATATTTGGTGTGTAAAGTGTAAATCTGACAGCATCTACTGCATTGTAACTAAAATGTTGAATCATAGAGCCAAATTTTGCTATTGGTATTAGTTCAGTGACCTAAGAAGAACTAAAAATCAATTAAGAAAAGAGGAAATACAAACATCTCTGCTACAAGAGGCAGGAACTCACATTTTTCTGGCTCTTACACTACAACTGTATTTGGATTAAGCTGGAGTTACTATATTCAGACATTAAGTGGAATTGGTTAATTACTTTGCTGAGGAGCACTCTGAAGTGTAAGAAATTGCCACTTATTTCAGCTTCATCCATCACAATTTCCTACAAGTCTCACCTTCAGTCCTGCCTGTGTGGAAGTGGGAAGGAAAAATAAACGCTGATGTAAAACTAGGAAAATTTTAGTTTGCACTTAAGACAGAGATCCCATACCTTTGGCATGGTTTTAGGAAAAAAAACTTTTCAAGTTCTGGAACTTGAATAACAGTGGAAGGATATTATTTAGTGGTGGATATAATAAATAGGAATCTACTTTCAGCATGGTAAAAACTTTCTAAGATAAACCTTTTCTCAGCTGTTGACTCACTCATCTATTAAGTGTTCACTAAGTACACTTAGTAGAGTCAAGAGTGCTTCTTTGTACAAAGGGTAAAAACAGACATCTAAAATATGGAAGCCTTTAAAAAGTTCCAAACAAAAAGTATGTGACAAGAAATTTTCAGTGTGTCACATTTTGCTTATGATTGGTGAAGTTGTTGAAATATATTCTGGCACTGATCCTTGCAAAATGAGTAAAAGGCAGGATGTGATTGGCATAGAGCCAGTCCATTGGTGCCACCAGCAGAATCCCTCCAGGAAAAAAGTACGAAACCTATTGTAGGTAATGCCTTTCAGCTCCCCCAAAGTAGGTCACCAGAAGGCTCCTGACCTGGGAATTTTTATGTCCAGGTCCAAAATGATGATGTTTGATTTAGAGAGATTGTATTAGCTCTGTTAAATAATTAACAGGTATGTAAACTACAGGCTGTTAGAGTACTTCCTTAACCCATGCATTTTCAGGTAGGTAGTTCATTCAGTACCATTGAACTGCCATAGGATTTATCTCAGAGCAGGCTTGGTTAGTTAAATAAAAACAATTGTTACAAAAGGCTTGTCATTGACATTTAGCATCTTACAGGTTCAGTTAACAAAAGTGACTCTTGAGCTTATAGATAAAACATGAACTTGAGGGCAGGCTGAGTGTTCTGAAGTGCCTGGACAGGTGTAGCAGTACTGACTGGGGTTTGGCACCCAGGGAAAGATAAAACTGCCTAAGCTAGGGCAGAAAAAAGGAGAGCTCCACTCTTGCAACAGGATCTCACACAGCTGTCTAATGGAAGACAGCTATGAGAGATGAAAGCACGAGGAAGAAGCAAAAGCCAAGTGAAAAGACTGAGTATTTATATGACACAAATTCAGATGAAAAAGCAGCTCACTGCACAAACATTCAGAACATCTGCATTTTCTGAAAACTCTGTTTCCCATTACAAGATTGTCTGTCAAAACACCCATTCTGAAAATGTTCTGTTGCTTTGTTTCCGTCAGGATGTCAATAGCAAAGGAAGGGGATTTTACATGCAGGGATTTTATACATAAATATATTTTTATTTGTAATTAAGCCATTCTCAATAAAGGTTTAAACTCACAGATAACCGTGTAACATAATGTAGCAAGTGCCTTTATTAACCAACTTCCTAGGAAAAATGTTGGAAAATCTTTAGAGGATCTGTTATGGATTTAACTAGAAATGGCACAGCTGAAACTGTCCTAAAATAAACGAAAATAAGAGTTCAAATATTGATTACAGCTATAAATTCATAGTTGCATGGCTGTGAACTGTATTCAGTCTGTGTTGCCTGAGCACCTTCTGCATAATCTGAATCATACAAAGCAAAATTTCAGAACACACTGTTGAGAATTGCAAATGTACCGTTATTACCTGTATTCCACAGCTGTCCTGTGCACTCCACAAGCACTGAGTATCCTACTGGAGTGCAGCTCCAGGGAAGGAGTTTTCCGTACCCATCCTGATCCCCAATAGCAGCTCCATGGCTTTCTGTTGACAGGGAAACTGTGCAACTGCCCCAGCCATGGCTGTGCTCTAGCCAGGGTCTCTATTTCTGCCTCCCAAACACTGAAAGCACCGTCTCAAAATGACTTCTGCACCTCGGAGGGGCCCATCAAAGACACCAGCTCAACTGTGCTTGTGGTGTAAAGGGAAACAGAACCCAGGGGCTCTTGCTTTACAGCACCCCCAGATCTTCAGACAACTAGGACATGTCTGGGACATTCCTCAGCTCTGACAGAGTGGCATCAAATAGTTTGCAGTTAGGGAAAAAAAACTCAGATGAAAAGAGTTTATTTCTCCTTTCTCCCTAGAGTACACATTTGATTACAGGGTGAAAACTAGAGAGCAGAAGTAAACAGAGGCACAATGCACATATCATGTAAAAATATTTCTGTCCTGTGAACTCATCATCAAACTACAACATAGTATACTGTATTGAATAAATTTCATTATCATTTTATATCAATGTGTTCCTACTGGATGTATGTCTAGTAAGGAACAAAACTTTCCATTCATTAGTGTAAATAACAAACCAAACACTCAAGAAGCCATTTTCAATTATTTTACTTAAGATAGTTTTGAATCCTATTATTTAAAGTTGGTTACAGGAAATTAAACTGACAACATTAAAAGAACAACTTGTGATCCACAGGACAGCTATCATCCAACAGTACCTTTTAATTTTCCTTGTAACATTTGAGTGTAATGACATGCTCACTCTTTGATGATATTGGGTATAAAGTAAGGCTGCATTGCTTCAGCGAGCTTTTCTGCATACATTTCATATCTACCAGTCATCTGGAAAAGGAAAATCAAAGTTTCAGTTCTTTCAGTGAGCTATGAAACTACTTCAGTAGAATATATTTATATCCACTGGTTTTTTTCTTTTTATGACAACATAGGATTTAATTGTCCCAAACAGCAAAATCATAATTCACTCAGAATTCAAGACCTCCAGTGCCTTAGCACAAACTAACATACTTTTGATAAAAGAACTTGCATTGTGTTGCCTGTAACTGTATTTCTATACAAAAAAAGATGCATATTTCCACTCTGAAAAGTCAAACTTTTAAATGAACAGTCTCATCACAGGTCTCCTTAACTTACTTAAGGCTATTTTGGTTATTCTGGATAACTGGAAGTTGGATGTCAAAGGTGGACTTCCTTTCTTATGCATCAACCATTTTTTAAGTGAGTTATGTCAGTGAAGGCAAAGGAGGGTATCTGTAACTATGGCTTCGTGTCATGTCTTTGACAAGCAATGACCCTGCTGCCAGCAGTGCATTTGTGTATGTGCCACCCACAGCATTTGGGTTGCTCTTACTTTTCCCTTTGATAATAAGAAATAATATGAAATACTCTTAATGATTTGGGTGATAAGAGCAAGTGCTGAAAGTGCTGAAATACAGCACTTGATGTAGTGTTGTCATCCTCTTCTGAAGTGCACAGACCACAACAATTGGCTCTGGGAGGGGCCAGTTACTTCTTTACTGCCAGAGTATGACGTAGATAATTTGTTTAACTCCTTTGCTGCTGTAAGTTTAGCAAAGACATTCTACTGAACATCCCTTTCAGGCATCACTGGATGCAAACCACAGATCCCAGAGCAGGTTAAATAGGCTATCAAGGGTTTTCTGGGTGGGTGACTGATGACTTCACACTTCCTCATTCCCCTCATCAAGAACTACCTCTGTCTTGGCCACAAACGAGAGGAAAAGGAAACAGCCTCCCACTGTCACACAAACAAAACCACAGCTGTGCCTTATGTGCCAAAAGACCAACAGCAGCAGTCCACACCATCAACACACAACTAAAGTGCTGAAAGCACAAGACTTGAGGACAACAAAAAATACACAATTCTACACAAAACAGCCAAAGGTCAGTGCTTTGTTTTTACTGTTTGTTTTTCCTAACCAGTGCAACTGCTGCTGTTCAGATACCCCTACTAAGGTGTTCTAAGCAATGCTCCATGTGCTTCCTGACACAGTAAATCTACTTGCAATGAGGGCCTCAGATTTCAGTGGGAAAGCAGAACTAAATCTCTGCCTGACTTAAAGAAACGGGAATCTCTCAGAACAGTTTCATTCCACTGTAACAACCACACACCTACCACAGGCATCTGCAAAATAACAAATGCAATGCTCTCCAGAAGATGACCTGAAATGACTTTGGGGGGTTTGACACTCTATATGGATTAGCAACAGTAACAAGGAAATTAAGCTAAAGCTAAGAAATGATTGCATTTTCATTAAAAAGCTTATTCAGCTTTTCAAATCCACAGAAAACTTGCCTTTTTACATCAAACTGAAATCAAAATATGTTAGTACGCCATATTGTAGTGCAGAGGATGCAAATAAACCAGCTCTATGAAATAACTGTCTCCTTGCAGTAACATATTAAAAAATTGACACTCCCTGCAAATGATTACTTATTTTAAATACTAAGTGATCACCCAAGAACCTACATAGATTGTGACAGTTGCTAGCCTGGAGTTCTTATCTACTTTGTTAGGATTTAAATCATGCTGATCTTAAGAGTAGATAGGAAACAGTTCTAGTCTCTAGCAGTACTGAGGACTAAAACAAAAGATCTGTCTCCCCATAAGAGAGCAAGATGTTTTCATCATCAAAGCCTACTTCAGAAGTTAACACCCGTTTTCTCCTTTTGCTTGCCTTCTTTGTTGTTCCAACAGGGTCTTTGTGAGGCCTGCTGTAAACTTGTTCAGATTAGAAAAAGGGAACTAGAGTGTCATTTGTTTAAAAAACATAAATCTGGTCACCCCACTAAATCAGTGTATAATACTCATACATGTAGCACCCTACACAGCTTGTACTGGCACAACTGAAGGGTTACCAAGCTGCTGTGCTGAGGCAGCACTGCTGCTGGACAGAATAAATCAAATTGACACCCTCAGGAAAGATGATCCAAATTAACTTTATCTCAGAATACAAAAATTTAGTAATAAATAAGTTTGTTAAAGCCATATGGAGTGGCTTGCAGCCATCTTAATCTGATTTAGATAAATTCAAAAGTGTGTTAGGACGCTTCAGAGATGAATGTACACAGTACACTGGTCTTTCTCTGCAGCTCCAACATAGCCACAAATTCAGGGAGTTAACACTGCAAGAAGTTTGCACTCAGAAAGTTCTCAGAAGCTCGTGGGTTTGAGTTTTCACTATAGTTCACTAAAACTGACAATTAACGCCTCTAAGAATATTTAATACTACCAGATCAGATCAGATCAGATCAAAGGCCTCTCTCACCTCAGAGACAAATGCCTACGTACACTGCACAAGGAAAGCACAGACACTTCCCCAGCAGTCCTCAGAGCTCCTGGCAATCCACACGTGGGGTCCAGAGGCTCAGGTTTTCATTTGAAAGCTACTGGCCTAGTTCCCCTGAATTTGGCTACTCCTTTTCCATATCTATTTATGCCTTTGGCCTCCAGAACACCCTGTTAAATTAGATCAACAATTTAAGCTCTGGACTGCTATGATAAAAAAAACACCTGCCTTTTAACTATTGTCAGATGATGGAATCATTATGAAAGCTTGTTGTCCCTAATATTATATTTTCTTTATAATCAGGCTTACCTTAAAATTCCACTTGTCACCCACTTGCCTGCAGAGGTTCAGATCCATCTCTACCACCAGCAGTCCGTCCTGAGTGCGAGACAGTCCCGGAGTCCTGCTGCCATCAGGTGCTGCTACGTAACTGGAGCCATAGAAATGGCCCAACTCATGGTGTGCTTAAAGAAATTTATAATAAGCATGTAACACCATCTGCAAATCAGTATATAACTTCACATGCAGTGTCCCAGAAAACCTGGCTCAATTTCTTATGGTTGCTCACTCGCTGTCCTTTAGGCAAGGTATCATCCTGAAGAGTCACAGCACGACCCTAAAGGAACTGCACTTTTGGCCAGTAATTACTTTCATGCACTGTACACCATCAAATTAACAGGAAAAACTCACTGCACTGCCTTTTAAATAATGCAAGATTATGCTTTCCCATTATTAAGTCTCTGAACTAAAGGCTTTGCTTTCATTGTTTTTTATTTAGCATTTAAATGAATTCTAATTGTCAAATCATACATTTCCCAAACAGCTGACAGAGATTCACCCAATAGACTTTCAATACAAGGTCAGAGGTGAAAACACTGGGATCTGAGGCACGGAAAAGATACTATTTCATATTTCACAACTCTTGAGTTGTGCCAAAAATCAACCACATCTGTTGTACTACTAAGCAAGGGATACCACTGATCTTTTTCATGCAGCTGCTAAAAACACTTAGCTCCAAAACTGGCCAAAAAACAGGCTCAGGCTCAGGCTGGATGAAGCCAGAAACAGCACGGATTGCCACAGGTCAAATTCTAATGTTTCAACATAGAAGCACACACAAGCAAACCTCACGTTCTTCTTTGACCATTCTCTTTAACTTCCAGCAAATCTGGGAAAGTGGACAAAATGACATGGCTGGAGATTCAGGCTAGGGCTGTTACTGCTCACAGGCTCACAAAGTGGTTTGGGTTGGAAGAGACCTTAAAGATCATCTGGTTCCAAGCCCTGTGCCATGGTTAGGGACACCTTCCACTAGACCAGGTTGCTCAGAGCCCTGTTCAACCCTTTAAACACTTTCAGGGCTGTGGAATAACTCTCAATAATCTTAAAACTGGAAATACAATGTCATGCATGCAGTGACAACACAGGCTAATTTCTGGGATTTCTGTCTCCCAGTCCTTCTGCATTAACTCCAAAACTCTCAGTCCTCTGCAGGTGTACAGAAACCTTAAGTATCAACTTTTGGTGAGCACATACCACCACCATTCCTAGGAAACACTCCCTCTCCCCAGCTTACAAACAGCAGTGTTTGGTAAGGCAGCTGCACAGGAAAGACACTTGCAGGAGAGCCATCCTTTCTTCAGACTTTCCGGGTAACAATTATTAGAACCCCTGAATGTGATTTCTGAACGTACCTTTCCCACCATCTCCGGAAGTAAAGGCATTTTTGTAGTATTCCTGTGAAACAAGAGGAATCCATAGGTGGCAGTATAGTTCCATTTCATTCGAGACATCCCTGCTAGTCTGTCACATTGAGTTTGGAAGTTTATATAAATCTACAAAGACTTTTTTTCTGGCACACTATCAGCACTGTCCAAAGGGACTCATCAGAGGGGCCTAGTTTCGGTGATGGATGGGACAGAACACAAGATCTTTTATCACTGCCTGTTGCTCACACACTTTGGGGAACATGCCTTTGTAACCGTTTCACAAGTTTAAAAAGGAGGCAAAGGAGGAGCTATTTAATCAAACACATCTTTTTGGATCACAAAAGAAGGCCAAACGTATTTACATAACAGCAAGAACAAGCCTGGATCTCTGTAGGGAACCTCATTAAAAAAATACCAAAGTAGGGTATTTGCACTAATCTGAAGACAAAAATGACCTCTTTTGTGCGATACTAATTTTCACTATAGAATTTTACACTCCAGAAAGAGGTAGCATCTGTATAACAGCCACCAGCTGTGTACCACTGACCTGAGGATATATTTAATTTTCAGTCATTTTGGCTAAAAGAATACTGATTTCCCCAAAGACACTAGGAGAGTTAGCAAAAGGGCGGGTGCCTATTACAAAGATTCAATTCAAGAACAGGAAGCAGCTGCAACCAAAAGGGAGGCTGCCAGCAACAAGGCAGCTCTCAATCTCTTTATCCCTGTCCATCTTCATATCACATCATAAACCCTAATACAGTAGTTAACGGTAGAGGAATCTCTGCATTCCAGTGCTGTTAGTCCATTGCCTTGAGTTAACCCCACCACCTGAACCATGACATGAAGCGATGACGATACTCACCGTGCCCACTCTGTTGATGGGACAGGTGAAGCAGTGATTTGCTATGGCAGCATTTCTGGCTTCGATCGGCCACAGCGACTCGCTGCAACATCAGAGAGGCAGCAGGAATTCACTACTTGCACACTACACAGACCCTGTGCCCAATTTACATTCTGACTGTCTCTCCTGTGCATTGTCTGTCAGGCCAAAGTCAGCTTGTTAAGACTGAGCTTGCTGTTACAATCAGGATATCCCCAGATAGAGCCAAGCACTGTGATCATTTTCTGCGGAGTTATAGGTATAAACAACTCTACCTGACAAAGTGGTTAATGTGGCTTTGCCATGGAAATAAAAATCTTAAGATTTTCAAAGCAATTAAAGTGTAAAATATTTTACTTTCCAAATTACGCAAAAGATTTGCACATGTGCTGACAGTTCATTAACTTTCATAGACCAAACGTCATTCTGTAAAAAAGCTGTAAGGGATTCATACAAGTTGCCTCCATTTTTACCCCCAAAATGGTCCAGAAGCCTTTGCAGCAGTGAATGAAAAAAAAAATAATTATGGGAATAATAACTTTAAAAAAAAATTAAAGAAAAAAAAATTCCACCAAAATTTTCTACTTCTATTATTTTAACCACAGTTTTCATAGCACTTTCCAGAAAGTCATTTTCCCATTGTGGGCTGATAGAAAAGAAAGTGTGTTCAATAAAATCATAACTTTCCAGAAATTATTTATTAAACCAATCTCTAAATTTACTAAAACCAAGAACTCACACATGAGGAATAAAAAAATTCCTTCTTCCAAGCCTCTACCTCTTTCCCAAAGGAAATTCCAATTGTGACAGATGTTTAAAACTGAAATAGTCTTATTTTTATTAAATAGTTTGATACACATGGATCAGACAGGTCAACAGGAGGTCTGGAAGTACTCAGAGCTTCAAAACAAAGGTGATGCAATTTGTACACTCCTGTGACAGGAGTCCAGCAGTCAGTCCTTTTAAGACAAAGGAATTTTACTGAAAAGCTCCAGCAAATTACAATTTCACAGAAAAGCAGAGACAGGAAAAAAAGGCTATATCCAAGAAATGACCCCAGAGTTAGCTGAGAAGTGTATTTTCTTAGCCCTCTGAGCTGGTTTTAATTTTTCTTTTAGAAAATCAAGCCAGTAGGGTGCAATTAATGTCAATCTGCAGAGGATTGATCTCAAGGGAAAGTTTACACTGGTTCAGTCTGGTTCAAGAAGCCTGATAATCACAAAATTGCCAAGAGTTTAAAAAAAAATGTTTCTCAGAAAAAGGGTTTCTCAAATTGCAATTCAACACCATACTCCTACGTGGACAACAAAAGCTGGCAAGATAAGCCTGGACATAAATGACTAATGTCTGTCACAAAGCACAAATATTACATGAATTATCTAAATAAACTCTCACTAGCTTTCAGAACACCAGCTGGATGCTGGCTAACTCTGTCTCAAAGACACAAGACCTGCAGATGTACAATAAAGTTCTGAACCAGCATCAGTGAGTGGAAGCCCAAAACTCCAGGTGTGGAAGAATTCAGGCTCCTTTGTGAAGGCAGAACAAGGAGGCTACACCTCCTGTTCCAAGACCTCAGCAAGGTGCTCCTGATCCCCAGTGAGGGGATCAGAGGTCAGTTAACCCAGAAAGGGAGCAATCAATCAATCAGTTTGCATGTTACCTGAGTGTCCCAATAGTGGCTGAAGGGTTAAAGATGATCTCTGCCCCATTCATGCTAAACATCATCCAGTTCAGAGGGTGATGGCGCCCATAGCAAATATTCACAGCAATTGCTCCAAACTGGGTCTGAAACACTGGGTGTCCTGTATTTCCTTCCATATAGTAAGTAGACTACAAACAAAACCACAAGAAAAACAACACAAAGGCAGCCTTATTAAAAGAAGTGAAAGGAAGTACCACCAACATTGCTTTGACACCTCCCAGTTTCTGATAAGCAGGTTCAAATCATTGGATCATGGGCGAGGACAACACCTGTCCTTTAGTACACAGTGCACTCCAATGGGTGTACAGCAAAAAGTGGCTCTTCGGCTGCTGAGATCAAATTCAAGCCCCTTTCTGTTTCCTCTCTCATACTACATCTAAGCACTGTGTGACTATGGCATAAACTCTTCTATCAATGCTAGAAGTTCCTACAGAAGCTTAGGGTAGATCCACAAATCACTAAGGTTTAGGTACCTCTCTCAGTACATTCACCATATAAGAAAATTTTCCTTCACAATGCTTTTATTTGGATCCTGCTAATTGAATATATTTCCATTTTTTCTTCTATTCTCATTACAATAGGAGAAGAAAAACAAGAATGCTGTTGCTTCGGGGAATTCATCAGTTCTTATTTCTCTATCCCTCACCAGAGGTCACAGTCATCTCCACAGCAACAAACTGTGATGGCTCAAGAAGGACTGATTTTTGTTTATGTGCCCTCCCACACATGGCTGAATAAGCCACAGTCCAATCTTTGCCTTTCCATTTAGTTCTCACTGATTCAATGGGCATGACTTGAACAAGGCTCCTTTCCCTATCTGCTCTACAGAGACAATCCCCAAGAAATGATTTCAAACTCAACATTTCCTTGAGGTTTAACTTTGTTGATAAAGAAAACAACATTAAAGTAGCACAGATGAACATAATCCTTTCCTGTAGCCTGGGTGGTTTCTAAAGTTGCTCTATCAGAACTGCTCAGCTCAGAAGAATGGACTTCATGCTCTGCTAACAAAACTAGCTACAGACAGTGCTGCTTTTGGGCAAAAATACCTCATTCTATAACAAGGTAGATACAAGAAGAAATGTGCAATCATTATACTACACCTGAAAGCTATAAACAGATTGTAATGTAGTAATTCTGGCATTTAGGATTCTAAGAACTAACTTCTTTTAGCAACTAAGCAAAACACTTACTGAAACTCTTATTTATACTTGACATGAAAAAGTAAAAGTATTTTCTTTTTTTAGGTGCCTTTTATTACAGTTTCATAGCTGGAAAAAGTTTCTTGGAATCTGTTGATGCTCCACAAAACAGTCTGGAAAACTGAAATACATCATATATTAGGGCGAGCAACAGGAATTTATTTTTCTGTTGGATTACAAAAGGAACAAATAAAAAAATGTGGAAAGTAACTAATGGGTTTGTGAGTTACTATTTTGAGTTACTAAAGGACAGACCTGATAAAATAATTTGAAGTATCAGAAAAATGGTTAAAAATAGAAGGCAGCACTGGTGACTGACAGGCCTGTGCCAGAAATGCGTTGTGTAGAACCCTTAACAGCCTCCTCTGAAGAAACACAAACCAGCCTGACCAGGCCCGAGATCCCAGGTCAGACCTTCCAGAGGTCCTTGAACATGAATTTTCAAGACCCCAAAGTAGTTTTTAAATTAATAAAAAAGCAGTTTAGGTTCTGAAGCCTCAGACTGGTAACTGGTGCATTCAGACAGGGAAAAAAACAACTGCAAGTATAGAACAGCACTCCGTGCTTAGAAGAAATGCCTCTGTTAATTACTCACTTTAGCTGACAAGGAGAGATTTAGTCAGGTAAGACAATGTATTTTTAGACTTTGGTTAATTTTTAATCCTGATCCTTCTACTTGTGATAATTCTATGGATGGATAAACACATTTCAGATCTACCAGTTTGCTTCTGACATTGCCTTTACTGCCAGTTCAGTTGAAGCTGATTCTTAAGGATGGCCTAAAGCCTGCTGGGGGGGCTTCAGTGGCAGCAACGTGATCAGTAAACAGAAGATGCCATAAACCAGCTATTCAGTCAGAAGTGTAATGAATTAAAGGACTCTGCTCAAAGAAACACAAGCAAAAGAACTGTCATTTCCAAGACAACCTCACAGAGAAACACAGAAAGATTGCAATGTTCACACTTGACCCACGAAACAACTGCCCTGCAAACTGAAACAAGTTCAACATGCACACATGAAAAGACTACCCAAGCCAGTCATGCACAACAAACATAACACAGCTGGGAATTAAATGATTCTTTTTAAAGAGTCTTGATACTTTTGTAGTTTCCACCAGGCCAAGGAAGATTGCATGACAAACATCATTTGTCTTTTAAGACTCATCACTCTCACAGCAATTATTAATTCTTGAGAAATTAACTTAGTATAATTTCATCTGAGGAAAACTGATTTGACAGTAAGTGAACCACATTTTCTAGAAACACATTCCATTTCCTGCCAGGACGACTCTGACACAGCACACGCTGGCACAAAGAGCTGCAAGGCAAGACCTGATGGTCACAATACTGCATCTTACCTCATTGAAATCTCCCACCCTTGGAATGTGATTCTTCCTGCTTTTGCCAAGGACAGCCCCAGAGTTAGAAATGACCACTGCAGTATTCCACAGAATTCCGCCGTGTATTTCATCTCGCTCCAGGATGGGAGATATCACGACCATGTTGTGTTTCTTTGCCAGCTGTACAAATGAACACGATTAAACATAATTAAACACAAACCTGCAGTACCCCCAGACTGACAGACACCACAGCTCACTGAAAACATTAAAAAAAAGAGTAAAATAGCACCACATGTGTAGTATAAGTGTTAAGTGACAGAGGTATGAGTGAGAAATACAGCAACTTCTGCCAGTTTACTTGTACATTGTCCTTTCCTTCAAATCACTTCTTTTATTTCTCCAAGCTTCCACAGTGTCATTAATTCCACGGTGAGAAGCAACATGTTCTTGCCCTAGATCAGACTAGAGATATTATGCTGGCCACAAAAGCTTAAGAGCTCACTGCATATCTGGGAAAATCTGACATCAAGACAGCCTTTTGTTGTTTCAATCACTTGTAAATGAAAATAATTGAAATTTCTTATTTAAAAAAAAGCTGTCAGAAAACAAAAATTAACACTGTCACCCTTCTAATCAACAGTCTCTGGAGAAACAAGAGCCAGACAATAACAAATCTCCTTGGGTCCATAAAAAGTCCCCTACATTTGTGTCATTCCAGAGTGAGATGCAAACAGTTGTGTTCCCTGTTCAGAAAAGGCTGCTCTTCTCCTCTCACTTTCATGCAAACATTGTTTAATGCTCAGCTGTTCTAGGCAAGAAACACCATTTAAATAGAAATTAAAAATATCTGTATGAAGAAACATTCCTCCCTTGTAAAACTTAGGAACAGTTAAGTGGGCAGTTTCATTTGATTTTCATGGTAAAAGGCAGTCTTTAAATGCAAACTAGTTTAAAAAATAGATATTGAGCACAGCCGTTGTCCATTTCTACTTCAACTCACTATGGTTATATCTGTCAAGCAAGTTGAAAATTTATCTTTTATCCTTTCAGTTTTCTCAGTGACACCAGAACAGTTCACAAAGAAGAAATCCATGCTAATCAGTGGCAGTTACGGGCTGGGATGGAGGATGGATGTGGGTTTGGGGTTTTCTGCTTGGTTGGGGTTTTTACCTCTTGACAGAATTTTGTTGTTGGCCCATCCTCTGCTGACTCAGCAAATTCAGTCCAAGGCAGTTTCTCTCTTGTACAAAAAGCAAAGGGCATGGCTGGAAAACACCAAAGCAAGACAAAATTCACACGAATGCTCATGTCACTCAAGAAATACATACTATTTGCATGAGCACAAATAAAAAAATTAATCAAGAACGATTCAACTGCTTTTCTGGCCTAAAGACAGAGGTATTTGAAAATATTTTTAGCAAGGGCAAGGAGATTTGAGCCCACAGAGGGCAAAGCAGAAGAGAGTAAATGCACTAAGTGAAGTCTCAGCAGGGGTAAAAAAACAAAAGACACCCCAACCACTCATGTACACTGTTTGTACCTGTTTTCACAAACATTTAATGGGACTTCTTTTTGGTGTTTGCTTCTGTTAAGCCTCAAACACCATATGTTACTTAAAAACAGATTTTTAAATTTTAGTGTTTGTCTAGAAAAAAAGCTAAAGTTTTAGGAGAAAAAAAATGAGGAAAGAATCTTGAAGGATGCCAAGAAGGAGCTACAAATATCACCACTGCAGATTATGCCAGTCTTCAGTGTAGCAGACCTCATATACATCTTCCATACACTTCTCCTAACTAAGGCTCTTTACTGATTTGTTTCCTAAAATGAAAACCAAAGTCAATTGTTATATCTTGGAAGATTTCTGCTGGTTACTTACAAGACACATTTCTAGTACGGGACACCTGTTAAAATAGAAGGAACTTGACACCTGACAACCTGGAAGGAATCAAGGAAAATACTCACTCCAAGCCTCCTGGAAACACACAATGTTGACCCCACACATTGCAGCTACTCCCACAATCTCCTCAATTCGTCTGTGCAGAGCAGCCACCTGATTGTGAGAAATGCCACACTATAAAAAAACCTGCATGTTCTAACTCACTTCTCTGTTAACAGCCTGGTTTTACAACCTTTGTTCACATCGAGTTTATCTTGCTCTATACTTAGAGCCACTGCTTTCAGAGGGAGTAACTCAACAAGTTATCATTCCTGAATACTGATAGTGGAGTCAGATATAGATTTGTAAAAGCATTTAGATGCTGAAAATAGAGAAGGCATTCCAAAGGGATTCTAATTCCAAGGTTGCAACACTTATATATATGACAACTCATTGCTGACTGACTGTAAAAAGCTGAAAGTCTTAACAGAATCAGCAAATGTTATAATTTTGCTGCTTACTGTGAACAACCTACAGAACAACACTAAATAAATGCAAATTTGAAGTCAAGTACTCAGAATCCTAAAATATGAGGCAAGAACAGTGGTTGGTTATCTCCAAATCCTGCTTGTATGGGTGGATCTTGGACACTCTCTAGAAGTTTTTAACTTCAAACTATTTTCTAAAATCCTCTGTCCTAAGAGCTAAGTAATTATTACCAACAAAAAACATCAAAGCATTTAATAAGTAGTTTTCTAGAGTATTCTACTTAAAGATAAGCACAGGTACAGCACTTTGCATTGCTGCTTTCAAGTATCAATAAAAAAAAGGACTCAAGACAAGACTGCAGTGACCTATGAACTCATTGATTGTAAATTTACAGAAACAGTTAACTAGTTATTTATAAGGTAAAATCATTAATATAATCAGTACTTTCTTGAACAGCTGCTATTCAGAATCCACAAACTTGATCCATTTACTGATTTAATGACTTGCATCTGTGACACGTAAATCTTTCCAAAACAAATCACTTCAGAAATGTTCTGTCCTGTCACTGTACAAAACTAGTGCTCCAGGAGATTTTATAAATATGGTATTTTCTTTCCCTTTTCTAAAGCTACTCTTAAGAGGCTATTTCTATACATATGTGTCACCTCAACAGTTTTGTGTCCAAGATGTTGAGAGACGATGGTCACAGAAACATTAAGGTTGGAAAAGATCTCTAAGATCATCAAGTCCAACCATTAACCCAGCACTGCTAAGTCACCACTAAACCATGTTATCTTGTAATAAGATTTCACCGACTGCTGTACAAAGGATAATGAACACGGTTTTATTAATCTGTGTTTACTCTAATGGATTTTCCCATAATGGAACATTTCTCAATTAAAACGAGAACTGCACCTGTGGTTTCCACCGGCTGCCATCCCTTTTGATTTTGTGGAAATGATTTTGTGTTTCATTTTAGAGGCAAAAGATTTTCACGTACAAAATGAGCTTTGGAAAAACTGCAAGTAGGTTAGGCCTTCACTAGGCAAACAGAAGAGATGTTTCTGAGAAACAATAAAACAGAATGTGCCATCCAAATCTCTTACAGGATCCTACACTGCAGTAATGATGTGTCCTACACTGCCAGACAATCATTAGACATTTCATGATGCAGCTTCTAAAATCAGCAACTGAACCATGTTATTTCTCAATCCAGCAGAACAGGAGTTACAGACAGCCCCGCTCCCAGCTTGTGTACCTGGACTGCCACTGGTGTGTCTGTGGGAAGGGGAATTTTATTCTGTACCAGTCCCACTCGAACGATACGTGGCCTTCTCAACTGCTCCGGAGCAGCTTCAAATCCATAGCCCTGCAGCTCAAAATCTCTTTCCTGAGCTGCTGACCATGCAGCACTTGGCAAATTAAGTTTTCTGGATTGAACAGGAAACAAAAGACATTTCAGGATGACATGTTCTCCTTTTCTGCTCCGAGTGCAATGGACCCAGGGGATCACAAATACTGTCTAACCTGCAGACACCCATGTCCCCACGCCCCAGTGAGCATCTATCAGCCAAGGGACAGTGGGGCAGAGGTCAGGTCGTGTGCAGGTCTCACCCATCATCTCCACGGCACCAACTTCCCAGTGTCCCACTCCTGACACTCCCAGACACTTAACACCCTGCTGCAGAGATTAAGGAGCACATATGTACAAACCTCCACCTGCGGGCTGGATTATAAGCACTTCCCCTCAATGTATTTCTCCTCATGTTTGACCCCTACTTTTCCGGCTCCCTCAACCTGCCGCCACGGCCTCCCAAGTCCCCCCTCACACCTTTCATCCCCGTCAGCCACATCTTCACGCCTGGATCACCTCCAAATTGTCCCAGAGCACCATAAACCCTACTGTTCCTTCTTCCCCCCAGCCCAGCCCTGTGTGCTGCACACCCGCCCTCACACCGACTCCTTCCCCGGGAAGCGACGGGAGAGCGGGCGGCTCAGGACAACGACCCGCGGCGGGGGCGAGCCCGTCCTGGCAGCGCAGCGCACCTGGCCTCGCCCCCGTAGAGGATCCGCTTCACCTCGGCGAGGTCCCCGGGCGGGATGTGCCGCTCCAGGCAGGACTCCAGCGACTCCAGGGACGCGGCCATGGCGGAGAGCGGGGACTCGCTGCCCCTCGGCCCCCGCTGCCCCTCAGGAGCGCGCCCACCCCCCGGACTTCGCCCCGGGCGGCCCCGCCGGGACACGCCCCGCTCCCCTCACGGGCCGTGGCGGGCGCGGCTGTCCGGGGTTATTTGACCCGTCTGCACCAAGCGGGGCCGAAAATGCGGCGTTCCCACCCCGAAGGGGAAGGGAGAGCCCGGGATTCGTGAGGGCCCGTGGTCTAAATGAGTGACAAAAGCATGAGGGTCCACAAAAAACTCAGAAAGGGTTATTAGTAAATGGCACACTTGGAGTGGAAATTGGCCACAGTCCTTATAAGCACACAGCAGTGGGGTTTGGATAAAGGGATAAGATGGAAGAGAGAAAGACAGAACTGAAGAGGGGGAGAGAAGAAAAAGAAGTGTGAGAGAGAAAGGGAGAGAGAGAAAGATGGAGAGAGGAAGAGAGAGGAAGGAAGGAAGGCCAGTCATTCCAGGCAATACAATGTCCGGGGTCCTGCCCCTTTGACCATTCCTTGTACTTCTAGGAGGTTTTACAATGATACCATTCCAACAGAAAAGCTTGGAAATTGGAGGTCATGAAATGGCAGTGGTTTTCATGAATATTTCTGTGTCCATTTCAGTTGCAGTAAGACTGAACAGGAGACAGCAATAAATAACTTTGACTTTAACGTGAATTTGAGGCCCAATATAATTGGAAATCCATCTCAAAACCAGAATTATTGTCAGACAAAGCATTGAATCATTAAGACTTTGATCTGGGACAAAAATAAAAGCACATCTAAAAAAGTAAATTCCCTTCAGCAGGTACCAAGTGGACACCCAGTTTAAACCAGTTATTCCCACTGAACCACTGGCTGTGCCTTCTGCTTCAAAACACACAGAAATTCACAACATAGCAACTGCTTTTCTCATTCAAGTGAAGCACGAAGTCCAGGGATGGCTACACGTCTAAATATATCCCACCTAGTTTAAGCACTACTTTATGTATCTGTTGGAAGATGTAACAACGTTCAGCACTTAGCATTTGCAGTTGTTAGGTATTTTGAGTTAAATATTAAGCCTTTTAGACTAAATAAAAAAAAGAATGTCAGGGAGAGAGTGTCTAATATTTAACTTTAAGCAGAAATTGTCCAGGGATAATCTGGTTTCATCAAGGCATTTGGAGAGCTGTGATTCCTTCTTTCTAATTCACCCTTTTTAACCCCAAAAGTTGCTGTGATGCTCTGCCTGCCAAGCGCACCAGGGCAGAAGTGCTGCTCTGGGGCTTTGTTAGGGGCAGGAGCTCTTTGGAATAACTCCTAAAGGGCATGCTAATTCCTTTAAACAGAAAATATCTCACCCCTTTACTCTGTGGGGGACTTTTCAAGGTAAGCTAAACATACAAATGATAGTATGCTATAAAGCAAAAAACGTTGAATAATAAGTAGTTAAAAACCCCCATCATTTAATAGGTAGGAACTCATTAGTCTGAGTAGCTACTACATTGTCTATTTGCCCTGTGCTCAGCAGTGTAGCATCTACTTTTTCATGACCAAGGGCCTAAAAACCTGTTCTTATGAATTATTTTTCTTTCCTAAACCTATTTCTGCAGGGCAATAATAAGAAGTGACTGATACATACATGGTACTTTTCATCTGATGATCCTAATTTGCTGTAATGGCCAATTTTAAAGGTACCTATCAGTAACATTTTGTTTCGTTCATGGCTGGTTCAATCTTTAAACATTGCAGAAGGGAAGATCAATGCAGAAATCAGCTGACAATACAGGAGGGAAATGAGGAGGCCAAGTAAGTTCATTTCCATATCAGCATACCCAGGATGTCAACAGATAAAACATTTCTGGAAGATTCATAGAAACAAACAGAAGGGCCTGGGTTTCTCTGGGAACTGTTAAATTTCTTTTCTGCCTGGACTGCAAATTAAAGGGAAAAACAGCAGGTCTATTTTGCATCCAGCTCCTGAAGAAGGTCACATAACTGAACTTTTCTCTTCAAGCTTCTATTCTTAGTGTGAACTTTCACTGACTTCTCTATTGGTGCCTTGTTTATTTGTAATTTAGTAAATTGTACTACATGTAGGAAATGGACTTCATGGCAATAAAACCGAAGCCCCTGAAAAAAATACTCAGGAACGGTAGAGACCTGAAAAAACAGAACATTTCCTGCGCACCACATCAACCATCCTGCAACAGCACAGCGAGGTCCAGACTGCGTGGATAGGAAATGACAAGCCTAGAATTACTAATAATGATGAAAGGAGACCAGGCTATTCCATAGGGACTACGTGTATATAAAGGTATAACTCCAGCCAACACAATAAACCTTCAAAGCACAAAATGTTAATGTTGAGCAGGAAAGTAACCTAATAAAGGAAGATGCCTTCCATATCCCAGACAAAGCATATTAGAGGGCTTGGATTTAAGTCTGAGTGTTCCACCTCAGTCACTGCAATTATCTGTTTAAGTAGGATGCTTGAATCCAGATCCCAGTTCTGGTTTTGACTTCTTCAAACCTCTATATTTAAACTTCTTCCCAGTTCTGCATTACCTGGACCAAGTAATTGTTTTGGGAAACAGCTGAACCTTTTGGTATGAACCCAGGCTATAATAACTGGTTTAGAGGAAAATGAGTATTTTATGGAACAAAAGTTCTCTAAAACGAGGGAAAATTCCTACAAAACAGTTCTGAAGTGCACATGCTTTTCATCTCTATTGCCCTCAGTCAGGGTGGTCCAGAAAGTCGGATGCAGAAGTCAGGACCACACAGTGTAATCTGTACAGAAAGCAGTTCTCGTGTGCTGAAACGCTGCGTTGCACAGATACCATCGCAGAGCTAAAACTGGGCTCTGGTAATCCTGGTCCACACACTCTGTGCTGCAAGACTGTTCCCAAGAGGTCCTCTAAAACCCCACAATAGCACCCTGGCATTAGTCAGAAGCACCCTGGAGATTGAATTTAAGAGCCAAATATCTAGAGTTCAGGCTAAAATTGGGAAAGACCCAAGAAAAGATTTAAACAAACAAACAAAGTCTTTCCACTGTAGCCCAAGATAGGAGCAAAGGCTGAACAGCATCACGTACCAGAGCTGGTAGGCAGGATTAGTGGCAGCATTTCTGTCTGTTCTTCCTAAGTTAGTAGTATGTATATATACACCCTCTGAAACACCCATCTTCTTGCAAACCCTGCTGCTGTCATGTGAATCGTGTCTCCAGATGCTTTCTGCTCCTGTCGGTCCTTGAAACGGGTCACACAGGGTTCCCCAGAGTGGATAAATAAATTAATAACTCGTGTCCCCAGTCCAGAAATTGTCTCAGATCACCCACAGGGTCATGCTACTGGTTGTTAACACCTATCAAGGGGTTTGGGTGGATGTGAACCCAGATGTGTCTTGCAAGGCCACATGATATTGGTGCTCTGTCTAAACTTGCTTTCTAGATGCTGCAACAGCCTCTAAAATGACCTTCTACAATGTCATTTTCCAGTGGCCACAAAAATGAAGAGCTGAATTGTACTGCAAAAGAGATCATTGAAATAGGTCTTTACATTGCTTCACCTCAAATACAAATTCCCTTGCTTCATTTGGAAATGTAAAACAATTACCTTGGAACACACCTGATTCAAAACATTTCAAGTGTAAGAGACAGGCAGTGAAGGGGAATTAGCATAATAAAAGTGCAGAGAGAGGAGACAGGTCTAAAATACAGGGAGAAGATAAAGCACTGACTTCATGCTCCTTAATACACAGCTAAAAAAAGGAAGACAACTGGTAACCTTCCTGTCTGTCCTGCTTTGGTTTAAGGGTGCTGTGATGTAGGGAAACCAACATTCTCTGCTTTAAAGACTCTCCTTTGAACCCTGACCTCTTGCTAATAACAACTATCTTCAGTGGGGGTTTTGAGAGGTTTTTTGCCTTTACACTGGTTACAGACAAAGCTCTCTTCCTAGTTCTGCTTAAATCCTGACAATCATCCTACCAGTTTCAGAAATGGGTCTGTATGTAAACTTAAGACAAAGAGCAGTTGAAGATTTTGATACAGATGGAAAATTCTGGCCTGCATTTAGATTCCTCACCTTTCCCATGGACTCTGTAAAAGCCACAGGTACAATCACCTTTAGAGTAGTTGAGCCAAATTACAAACCTCTTCTATTGGCTTCGTGTCATCTGCTTTTGGTTTCCTGCTGTTCTGAAGGCTGGGTGAGGGGAAGTGGCTGAAAACTGAGGAAGTTTATTATTGACAATACATTTTATCTGCTCTCAGGCATGCCTGGGACCTGAGCAGCCCCAAATCTGAGGAGTGAAATGTAAGTGTTCAGTCACCTTCCCCTCTCTCCCATAGGAAAAGCCTAGCTCACTGTTTTCAAAGAGTTAAGGTATCTTTGTAAGAGCTTTTCTGTTGTTTGCACTGTTGTCTTTCTAGCTAGAAACATTCTCTTTGGTTGCTCTGACTAAATCACACCTGAAAATGTGTCTTTAAAGCAGAAGAGATTCACAGATTGGCCACTTTCACCAATTAAAGACTTCATCCTTCCCTGGAATATGGCTATCTCCCTGGTGCACAGGAAGTGCATTAAAGAAGTAATAAACACTCATAAAACACATTTAGTGATCTAACATTTAAGAGCAGAGTTCTTGTTCATTACTGTAACTTTCTGCTAAATTACCACCAAAGAGATTGCTCATGGGCTCAAAAGGTCAGTGTTATTTTTGCTGTTGAAATCGTGGAGTCTGGGAAACAACTGTGTGTAAATTGCTGATAAACTGGAACAAAGACAGAAGAGAAAAACACTGAACATATAAGAATGCAAGTAAACCAGCAGGAAAGGAGGGGAGGGGAAGAATCTCACGGACAGTTTATTAAAAGAACAAAAGAATAAAATCTGGCGCATTTGTTTTCCACGGGTTCAGGAAGCCCGGTCTTTAAGCACCTACTATAAATAGTGTTCTAATCCTTCATCAAAGGGGGTAGTAGTCTATACCAAAGTGAATGAATTCTAGGTATAATCTGGGAAGAGGAAGATGTC